ATTTTTGCTGCTGGAGGGCTTTCGCGAGGCGCCTCGTAGTACTTTTCAAGAGTCTTGGGGACTGATGGGGCCGTCTGGAGGCAATCTTCGGCGTTTGGGAACGATCTCTCGTCGACTCGTAGCTCTGCTGGACCGATCCGGGACCCTTTTGAACCTTTTTGGCCCGCTTTAGGGCCTCCTGAGGCTCCAAGTGTTCGGCCGACACCTTTGCCCCCCACCCCCCCACCCCCCCTCCAAACCGGCCGGGCCAGGCCCCCGGGGGAGGGGTTTGGGCTCACACGTCGTGCCCCCAAGGGATCGGCGGACTTCTCCTCCTCATAATCATCATCATCGCTCCACACTCATCATCATTCTCATCCTGGCAATCATCAGCATCAGCATCGTCATCATCATCATCAGCAGCAGCATCATCATCAACAACAACATCAGCAGCAGCATCAGCATCAGCATCAGCATCGTCAGCAGCATCATCATCACCACCATCATCATCATCATCATCAGCAGCAGCAGCATCATCATCAATCAGCATCAGCATCATCAGCAGCATCATTACCTTCTTCGTGTTCAGATTCGTCGTCGTCTTCCTCCTCATCGTCCTCCTCATCGTCCTCGTCTTCCTTCCCACTCCAGCTCTCCCCTCTTGCGACCTCACCCACCTCCCTCCTCCTCCCTCCTCCTCCTCCTCCCTCCCCCCCTCCCTTCCCCCTCCTACTCATCCCTCCGCCTGTGTTGCATGCTCCCTATACCGCCTTCCTTCTCCCTCGTCTCTCTTTAAGGGGGAGGGGAGGAGGAGAAGGATGATCAGCAGCAGTGATCCCCTAACGGCGCGTTTCAATGCTGCGCTTTGGCAGCCCATAGACACTAGCCCGTTACCCCCTTCTACCTCTTGCTCGCGTGTTCGACACAAATGTTCAAACACGTGCGGTCGCACGCTTCATGCCGCAAGCTCAGGGACATCGTGTTTGCTTAATTGAGTTGCGGTGCCGCGTCTGCAAATGTGTTCGATCCCATGTAGCTCATGATGTTCTGGGCACTCATGGTAGCCACGTGGGTGCACGTGTGATGTGGGAAGGTCAGTATTAGCTTTCGTTCGTTGTGATGGTGGCGCTTTCGTGTTTCTGCTCCACGCGTGCTCAGACGTGACATGGGAAGTGCCGTGCGCAAGGAACAAGCAAAGGTACAGCAGCAGGAGGAGGATGATAAGGAGGACGACGACGAGAGGAGAGAGGAGATAACACGTCGGGTGTTGCTAGAGGCGTCCCTGGATCAAAGCGCCCCCAGTATTCCCAGGGGGGCCCAGACGGCCTCTGGCGCACCTCTCACGCGGCCCAGAGGGCTCCCGTGGCGTCAAGTGGCGCGAAAAGCTGTGGACACCCTGGGTCAGGATCACTTCTGGGAACGCCCGAAGGGGAGAGGAGAGGGTCGGCGGCGAGCGAAGGGGGGAAGCGAGAAGGAGGAGGCCTGAGACTGGGGCGGGGGGGGGAGACAGCAGGAGCACCGGCAGGAGCAGGGAGGCGGGCGGGAGAGGCAGAGCGGCGCAGGAGCGGCGAGGAGCCGGCGGTGCCCACAGCGCCGCCGCGGTGATGCCGCCGCCCCCGCGGGGACCGCAGGCGCAGCCGCCCGCGCGCGCCCTGCCGCCCGTGATGCAGCCAGCCCGTGCAAGAAAGGAAGCACGAGAAGGAGGCGCGAGAATCGGGCCGAACGGAAGGGGGGGACAGGAAAAGGGGGGGCCTGGGCCCGGGCCCCGGGCGGGCCTGGCCGGGATAGTCGAGGCGGATCGCCGGCGTCCCCCGATCTGCGCCAGCCCCTCCCTCAACTGGCCCAGGGGGGCGAGAAGGAGAAGGCCTTCTCAGAAGGCGGCGGGGCTTCTCAGAAGCCCTCCCGCTTCCTGTTTCATTCGGGCGGGACGAAAGGGGGGGATAGGAAAAGGGCGGGGTTTGAAATCTGCTGCATGCAGCAGGTTTCGGCCCCACCGAGGGGCCCAGTCCTCGATACACAGCCGCCTCCGGCGCCGGGAGGCGCCGGGAAAATCAGCTACGCGAGCTGATTCTCAAGCCCCCCCTTTGCTATCCCCCTTTTTCGCCCGGCCCGAGAGAAGGATGCACGGACGCACCGGACGCACGATAACTAACCTGCCGGCGCCCAGACGCACGATAAGGATGCAAGGGCCCCGGAAGGCCCTGTCGGCACTTTGCGAGCGGGGCGCGACCAGCGAAAGCGGCCACGGATGGGCCGAAGGGGAAGGATGCAAGGGTAACCTTGTAAAGTCGCTCTTCCTTACACTGCGTGTTGACTGCAGCCGTGCGTCGCGAAGAAAGACACAACACTCGCAAAACAACAAACAGCCAAAAAACGTACGTTCCCTGCAGCGGCGAGGTGACGACACCGTCGCGAAGCGCTAGCCCGGCAAACGCTGAGGCAAATTTTCACCTGGCGCAGAAGATGGGTGGACTGGATGGTGGCAGTCGCTTGCAGAGAAAAAACGCGGGGACTCGCTTACCGCTTGCACGTGGAAGATGGCGATGCGGCAACGCAAATGCAGGTTTTGGCCAAACGCAACCAGGCGAACCGGAGCACGAGAAAAGGCTAAAGGAGGCGCCGTGCGGCAAGAGCGTGGCGTTCAAGACGAGCCCACTGCAGCGGGCGGGGTGCAAACGGAGCCGATGCAGCCCGACTGGTAAGGGCGCACCGGCGAGGACGAAAACTGGTCCGGGCGCGTGCACCGGGCAGCTGTGCCGTGCCAAGCAAAAAAGCGCGCGCACCCACACTCAAGTTTTTTAGCCATTTTTTGTTGGCGTCGCGGCCCCACGCGCGGCGACGGGGCGTAAAAAGTCGATGCAAGCAGTGAAAAGCGCGCGTCTACGCCCGGCCGAGCTCTCATACACCGCCTAGGGTCTCGCAGCCGGCAGCAGCCATGACCATCCGGGCCTGGATGGCGGGGATGGGCGATGAGTAGATGAAACTACGTTGAGGATGGAAGGTGACATGAACCAACTAGGACTGGAAAGCGGGGAGAGCGGGTAAGCAAGTGTGGACCGACGAGGGAGTGCGTAAAGGAGCGACGGGGAGAGCGAGTTGAAGGCGGCGGAGCCGCAAAAAATCACAGGCCGAAGGAGCCGCGAAAGCCGACGGAGCCGGGCGGCGCGCCGGAAACGGCGGCGGCCCCGAGGGCGGTCCCTGAGGGAGCGGGTTTGGCCAGCCCCCCCCAGGAGGAGGAGGGCCCAGCAGGAAGCGGGGGAGGGGTAGCCAAGATGGATCGACGGGTACCACGCTACAACGGCGGTGCACTCGGCGACCCTTTACGTCCTCTCTGTGATGACGCGGCCACTGCTGGTCCCGCACTGCTTTCTGAGCGTGGCGTTGCTCAAGGCTCGCATCAAGATCGGCAAGATGAAGCATCTGGTCGTCCTAAACGTGGTGTGCCACCCCTCTCCCCGCCGTTCCCGAACTCGTCGGGGGCGGTGCCTTGCGAGCCATCCTCTATGGACAGTTCAACCAGTGCATGCAGATGGTTCTGACTGGAGATGGCGAGGGCGCCTCCATTCTAGATACGATGGATATGCATGCAGAACTGCTGGACAGTACTGAGGCCCATGACTCACGGTTCTCGGAGGCTGCTGCTGCGGAGGATACCGCGCGTTCGGCAACTACGTGCAGGATCTGGCGTGTGTTGTTTCTCTTGTACTCCCTGACGGCTCCGCCGTCGCCGTCAACGCTTCGTCGAGCGTCGGCTTTAATGACATCCAACATGGAGAGGCGCAGGTCGACATGCCCGACCACAACTGGGTGGTGGCCCCGCGGCGGCCGCGGGCGGCAAGAGCAGTGCGGCCTAGGCGAACCCACTGAAGACTTCCCCCCCGGAGGCGTGTGTTCCTCCTCCTCCTCCTCCTCCTCCTCCTCCTCCTCCTCCCCCTCCTCCTCCTCCTCCTCCTCTTCTTCCTCCTCCTCCTCCTCTTCCTGCTCCTCCTTCTCTTCCTTCAACCCTTCACCCCTCTCCTCCGATATGCACTGCCCCTGAGGTAGTGCAAGATCGGCGCTTCGGGGATGGCACTTATTAACTGTACACCCAGCCCCTGCGGTTGTAACCTAAATTAGCCGGGTTCCAGTGGGTTTGGTCCAGACCCGTTTCATGCATCTCCCTTTTCATCTTCTTGGCCTTGTCATATTCCATCCCGGATTATCATCGTCATCGTCTTCTTCTTGCCATTCCCAATCCACCTCCGGAGGTCTCCAGAGGTCCACGGAAGCCCCTGGGATCGCACAACGCCTGCACAGATCCCACATACCGAAAACATGTTTGATCCGCGGGTCGAGAGCGCACCTCTTCCGGTCAAAGCTAAGCGGGCCGCGCACAGCTTTAATTGACAGAGGGGGGAAGGCAGAAGGACGGGCCTCACGTCAATTGCACACCGAAAACATATATATATATATATATATGTATTCGAACTCAGTTCCTCCTCATCTGCCTACTTCTCCTCCTTTTGCCACTCGCCCCTCCAGGGGTCCGTTGCCCCAGACGGCCTCGTCCTCAGGGGAAGAGGCATCTGCCGGGTTGCAGTAGTGGGACGCTGCGCATATCGCTCGCAACAGGGCGAGACGTTGTTCTCGCCGCAGCGCCGTGCTCGTTGTTCTTGCAAGCTGCGATCCCTCGCTCACATGCGGCGCACGGCTTTCGATGGCCAAGCCGTGTAGACACTGGGGCGCGCGCCACCGAGTTGAAATGCTGCTGTTCTTTCGGATCCCAAGTTCTGCCCCAGCGCTGTGGCGCGGCGCTGAATTTTCCCCGCGCCAAGTCGGAAGGGGGGGGGCCGCACGCGCGCGGGCGCCTTCATTCGCACACGCCCAGGCCGATTGCCATGTGTGTCGGCACTGATATTTTGACGGCATGGGAGTGGAAGCGGGCGTGGGCGAGGCCCGCTGGCACGTTCAGGGCTCGCTCACCTCTGGCCAACTTGACTCCCACTCCCGCTCCTGGTCCTCCGCGCGAAGGTGCGGTCTGCAGTGAGGGCTCAAGCCGCCAAAGCTCGAGACGCACCCGCCCCGCGTGCTTCGGGCCGCCACCTCCGCCGGCATGCCCGCCAGCCAGAGGGAGGAGCTTCCCCTCCCGCCAGCCTGGCCATCCTGGGGCCCTGTCAGGCCGTCTTGGGCGATACGTGCCGGGGCGATACGTGCCGGGGCGTCTCGGGCGTGGCTCTGGGCTGCTCGCAGGCAGCCTCCAAAGGTAGGGTCGCACTGGGGCCTCGCAATCGTGGCCGATCCTGGGGCAACTTCGGCGCGTCTGCGAGCAGTGTGGGAGCATTCTTGGGGCCTCTCGGGAGCACAACAAGCTTGAATCGAAAGGCGTGGATGCCCAGAGGTGTCCCGAAACCTTTAGGAGTCGAGTGTTGCTTCTGTGATGCTATCCGCTTCGCGGTCTTGTTGGGGTCGTCTGGGGCCTTCTTGGGCCATCTCGGGGCTGTTTCGAGTTCTCTTGGGCGGTCACGAGGCTGCTTCTTGGGCAGTCTTGGTGGCATCTCGTGTTGTTCAGGTCCTGTGGGAATGCCAGCTGCAGTGGGCCCCCCCTCCGAGGACGTGATGCGGGCCGCGCGCCTGAGCCGCTTCGAGAACCAGGGCGGCAGCTCCGCTGCCGAGGGAGGACGCGAGCCCGCCTCCCAGCCGCCCGTGGCCGGCTTGTCGAGCGCCGGGTCAGGGCGGGCCGCATCGAGCGCTGGGCCGCCAGCCGGGCCGGCGCCAGAGGTGATGGGCCACGTCCAGACGGCCACCTTTGGCGCAGCGCCGGAGGCCGGCCAACGAGCATCGCTGGCCCTTCAACCTCAGACATCCTCCTCCGATACGCCCAGATGTTTTTGCGCTTTCATCCGATTGTCACAGATCTGGAGGCCCAGAGTTGCCAAAAGCTGTCCGCCGTGATCTGCTTCACGGCGCGAGGATGTCATGGGCCGCCCTCCTCTCGAACAGGGCATGGAGGAAGAAGAGGAGGAGATGGAGGAAGGAGCAGCGGGAGGAGCAGAGGAGAGGAGGAGGAGACAACTCTTCAAGAGAAAGAGGAGGAGCAAGAGGCAGAAGGAGGAGGAACAGGGGCAGGAGGAGCAGGAGGACGAGGAAAGGAATACGACCTCCCCACGCCCGACTCCCTACTGGACCTCCCTCGGCTACGCAGTCAGCGCTGTCTACACGGACGGCTAGACGGCCCACAAGGACGCCCTGCCGACCCACCCCGAGCCTGCCCCAGCGGACGACCCGAGGCCGCTTCCCACGGCATTACCGGCTGCGACAACGACAACGACGACACGACGCTCCTCGCCACGACGACGCGCCTTCCCACCACGACGCCCCTCCCAACGAACACCCTGATCCACACCCTGCACTCCCACGACGGCTTACCACGACGGCCCGACGCCTTGCCCAAGGCCCTGCCCGACCCCCGCTCCGACGCCTCGCCCGACGCCCAGCCCGACGCCCCGCACAACTCCCCACCCGACGCCTCGCCCGACGACCACCCCACGCCCGAATTCCTCTTGGGACTACCTCGGCTACGCGGCCGGCGCTGCTTACACGGACGGCTACACAGACCACAGCACGGACGACCCGACCCCCGACCCCGCGGTCGACCCGACGCCGCCCCTGACTGCCGGCCCGCCGACCAGACGCGGCCCGACGACGCAACCGACGGCCGCCCTGCCGGACAACCCGACAGCCTTGACGCTGCCCAGACCATCGCTTCGCCCGGCGGCCAACCCGACGGCCGTCCCCGCCGCCGAGCTGACGCCGCACCCGACGGCCTGCCCGACAACCTACACGACAACATTGGGCAGCAGCCTGAACGCGGCCGAGACGAAGAACACGATTCCAGGAGAGACGAGGACGAGGACGACGACCCTCCCGACCACCTCCCCCGCGCACCCCACCCATTGCCCGAAGCACTGCCCGCTGCCCCACCCGACCCTCCACCCCGACCCGACGGACCCGACGCTCGATCCCTGCCCCGCGATGCCCAACCGCGTGACGCCCTACCCACGCCCAACCCTACGCCCTCAACGCCATCGACGCCCAGATCCAGCATCTCCACGACGAGCGCTGGCGGGCCAGTGTGCCCCAGCAGCAACAGCTCTAGAATATTCGCGAGATGGAGGCGGAACTCCAGGTGCTGGAACACCTAGCGGCCGACCGGACGCACCCGACCCCATGCCTGACGCCCCACCTGACCCCTCTTTCCGACGCCCCTCCCGACCCCTCGCCACGACGGGTGCGCTTCACCGCCGCCGTGCCCGACGCCCCAGCTCCTCCTTGGCACGTGCGCTGTGACGACGACCTCCCCGACGACCACGACCCCCGTAACCCCTCCCAAGACGAACCTTCCGCTCCCCGACCCCGGGCCTCTACAGCCACCACGACGGCCACGACGGCCACCTGGAAGGTAACCATCGACCCCAACGACGGCCACGACACCACGGCCACCCTGACGGCCACGACGACCATACACCTTACGACGACGAAGAC